CGTGCAGCTCAGATGCCCCGTCGCCATGCAGTCCGCCCCTGGGGTCCAAGGAGACCCTGATCCATAGTGCTCTGCGTTGCAATGTGCCTGTAGCAGTTTGGTCTCCTGTGTGCAATAGCATTTCTGTCCTGCAGGGTAACCTCTGCACTTCAGGCTGGGATAGATGTCTTAATAGCTGTTGTGGTAACTTTCAATCAGCACACATCAATGACGTTCAGCACTCTTTACTGTAATTTAACAAATAGTTAAGACTTCTCAGACGGCAGCGCAGTCTCCTTGCTTGCACTCCAGTAGCAAGAAAGGAGGACAACCAGTGGATCCAGTTGTTTGGTCAAACAACCTTTGACCTTTAGGTTACGATAACTTACGACTATAACAGCTGTTGCTATTAGAAGTGTAGTGTTTGATCACATTGAGAAACATTCTTCAGTTCGCTTTCCCGTGCTGATCGGCTTATAACAAGCTGAGAAGCAGAAGGGAGAAAGCAGCGTGTGTTGGCACGTCTCCCCTGAAGTGGGCTCTACAGCTGAAACTGAGTGTTCCTCCTTTTCTGTTTTTCAGTGCAGCGTTAACGTTTATTGACAACACGCCCATTTGAACAAGTCACGTCCACAGCGATTCAATGTTGATGACTGGTCCCGGAGTGCTCAGCATCTTCTAGATTCCATCCCAAACGAGCTCTCCATTACTTAACTGGGCCAGCTATTGGTTTAATGAGTGTTTTATAAGAGGATGGTTAGTCACTGCTAGAAAAGACCCATAAGTCCTGCTGGACCAACAGATGCCCAGGAAACACAAATCCAACAGCTCCGCAAGTGCAGGGCTGGGGGCAGATGCTGTTAAGTGTGTGTGCAGTTTCTTCAAAAATCCTGATGTTTCTCTTTACCTGTATACCAGAGAGAGGATTGACTTTGACAAACCGAACGTAAGTGACTGTGAGCCCCGGGGCTGTGGGTCTCTGGATGGCGCACGCGGTCAGTTCTGTCTTGCTGCTGTGTGCAGGTCCATTGCCTATGATGACAGACCAGATGGCTCCCTGAACTTCACAGGAAGCCGTATTTAGCAGGCCTGGAAGTGGGGATTCATTGGAGCCAGGGAATCACATAGTCACCACTGCAAAACTATTATATTGGTCATAGAACACAAAAGAAACCAGCACTGTTGTACCAAAGTCACTTTAGAGAGCCATTAAACCCCAATAGTGTTGCCTTGTAATATAAACAACTCTTTGTCTTTAAAAAAGGGAATTAAGTTGGCAGGTGTCATGTCCATCCTTTTGGGAAACTGCACAGTAGTTACCTGGCCATGAGGACAAGCATGACATCCATTTGTGGATCTGCATCTCAAAGACATTTTACGGAACAATCCCCAACACCCATGTGGTAGAATAGCTTGTATTAATAGTGTTTACCTGGAGAAATTATTTCTTCTTGTCAATAGTTTTACCTTCTGGAAACCCAAACAGCAGAACACTTACTAGAGCAATCAAGAGTGAAGTATAGCAGCCTCTTACCTGGGATTTGAACCCACAGCCCCTGGGTTAGAGTACAGGACTTTACATAAAGTACTGTAGAGGTATGCAAATTTCATTCCCATTTTCTTTAATTGTCTCTAGTGCATATTCCTTCATTTCTTGTTATGTTGGGGCACGTTTCTTGATATCTGCAGTAAATAAACATAGATCAACCAAGACTCTTGGCAGAAACAATGTCATTTATTTACACAAAGACAAATGTTATAACATGATACAAAATACTTGACTTCAAACATTTAAGAGAGAACAGATAGATAAGATACAAGATTTTTTTTTTTCGTTTTTAAAGGAGTGTCTTGTTATTTTTTCTTCCAAAAAATAAAAAATCAAAAAACCAAATGAAAAGTGACAAAATTAACATTTTCTACAACACAATACTGATCATCAACCACTAGAGAACACGCACTCGAAATTCGACTCGATAGAACATTTAGCATCGACAATGTTCGCAGTACAACCCCATGTACCACTGAATGTGTTCATGATTACAAAAAAGAACATTGAGAATTCATCCAACCCATTTCATTAACTGAATAATAATAAAAGACATTTCTCTGGTGTGTTATTTTTTTAACCCCAAAATAAATTATGGGCACAAACAGTTTCTGATTGCTCATCTTTAAGAAACAGCTCCACAAAGCTGTAGCTCCGTAGTTCTGTTTTTTGCCATCCTGCACCAAAGACCAATGAGACTGAAAGCTGTCTGAGACTTTTCAGATGTTTCCACTTTTCTACAGTACAGATGTGCGCTTTGACATGAGTACTGTGCAGCGACCGTGAGCTGGCAAAACAGTGTGTCGATTTAACCTGTGCTCTTTAGAAGCCCTGAGAGGCTGTGCTCTCCCTGCTGGGACAACACAAGCAAAGTGCACCATTCCCCAGAGTCCTTTGGAAAGTCACGCGTGTACTCTCCCCAACCCCAAAAGCACTCCAGTAATATGGCTCTCACCCTGCAGGGGGCTGAGGAGTGTTGAAATGCAGTATGTCCTTATCGCCTTTATTACAACAATGAAAACAATACACCTGCCACAACTTTAGCAAAGACCCCCCCCAAAAAAAATAATGGAAAGCAGACATGTCTCCACTTTCCTCTTTGTGGGTGGTTTGCTGTATTGCTAGACCCAGGCACATCGGAACTCAGAACAACGAGGGAAGGTGGCACAGGCGAACTCGTAGTGATGTGAAATCAGGTGAATTGCACAGGTACAGGTGAACCAACTGTGTTATACACGTCGTATTGTAGAAATATACTTGTGTGTTTACACTATATAGTTTATATATAATATACAGTAAATCCATACACATACACAGTGCAGTTCTGAAGTATCAATAAGAGAGGCACAGGTGCATAAGGTGTATGCATTACGTGTGCCTTTAAGTTTCCAACCAGGGGACAGAGCTTCTGTCTCTCGCACGTTTAAAACTGTCACCCTTTTTAGTACCGGTACAGAAGGAGCAACCCCACGCAGGAAAAGAAAAGCAACTTCCGAATTTCACTTGCATCCTTAACCCCTCTAGGTATTCGCAGCTGGGGGCCAGGGAAGTCCCAACAGGAAACACAGAGAAATCCCAACACCAGCTGCCTTCAGCAATGCCAACCCATCTCCACTGCACAACACCAGATCTCCATTTTAGTGTTCAGGTCATAAAGTCTTATCCAGCAGTAGAAAAAAATACCACATGAAGATGTCCACCTCACCGCACAGGAAGCCCAAGACGAGATCTGCCTGTCGCACACCACTTTTAATTGCCCTGGTTTCAGAGCACAAGCCCAGGCCTCATCCTTGCACAGCAGGAAGAATCTAGTGCCCTGGCAGAGACTGAAGAGCAAAGATACACTGCCCAGACATACAGTGGAGAAGTCACTAGGTTGTCACCTTAGCTTTCTCTTTCATGAGAAATTCCAGAAGGGTACTCCCTGGAACAGCGAGGTTAAGCAAAGGAGTTCCAGCAGCTTAAAGAGAAGATCTGGTAAGGAGATGATTCCATTCATCACTGCCTATACAGGTTGTATAATCCAATCAAGCATAGTGCTGATTAGCCCCAATTGCTCTGGAGCTAATGTCGAGTATAAAATCGAGTCTGGCACCTCAGCCCTGGGAAGCCACAAGGGTGTCTGGGGTTCACCTGTGCTACGAGTGACATAACTGAAACCATTATTTGCACCAATGGTATATTTCGACATGGTTTCCAGGTCCTTGGTAACTAGTTAACAAAACCTGCAGAGCTGTGGCTTTCCAGGGCCGTGGAGAACTCTGGGTTCTTTGGGCTTCTGCCCAGAAGAGGACAGAGCTGCGATTTGTGCCGCTGGACAGGTGTGAAAGGGGTCAGAAGCTGCTGGAACTCAGCCACTCAGGACAGACTTGGTGCGAGATTCGCACACACACACACAGAGACACACACACACACACACACTCCTCCTAGATACGACTCTTTCCAGACGTGTGCTTTTTTGGGGGGGTTTAACAAAATCACTACCAAGTGGAAGGGAAAAGCAAAGTTGAACAGAACAAAAAACAAATCCTAGAACTGTCCAAGTATATTGCTGTGATCAAATGAGAAACACAAGTCCCTATTGCGAATCAAGTCTGCAGCTGTGTCTCTTGAAGAATTTGTTAAGGCATCATTGTCCTTCCATGACACCCCCTTCTGTGAACCATGTCGTTCAGCACTCTGCAGCGAAGCGTACACCTTCAATGGCATGGCAAGAGTTAACTGAACCTGGAAGAGCTTGATGCCATTCTCACTCTGTATTGTTATTTTAATGTCTTTCAAAAGGATGAAACTACAAGTCAAGAATGAGGATGAAAGTTAAAAAAAGATTCAGAACACGCATCCTAAAATACAATATTATTTTGTCTCAACATTCCCTTTAAGATCCTTGCTGCAATTGCACTGTTTTACCAAAAGGTGGGACTGTACACAATGCAATAATAAAAATGTAGCTGAGGGAAAAAATAAAAATAGAAAAGGGACAGTGATTTCCATCTATAATATTCACAGTTATAGATTGCTAAAATGCTGTGCATTGCACATGTATATATATATACATTTTACATCATTTTATGTTTTAACAGGATAGCATTTGAAAAAACGCAAACTTTCCGGAATGTGCTTAGAAATTTCTGAAATTTCCGCATTTAATATAACCAAGAAAGAGAAAATAAACATATGTAAAATATACCGTAGAAGACAGCTACACGCTCAAAATCCAACCACAGTGTATGTTCATTGTATAAATCAGAACAGTGGAAGGGCACAATGTGTAGGGTAGACCTCTTTCCAAATTACAAAATAATATACAAATATCCTTTAAACCTCAAGAATTGGAGATCACTAATACCTGTATACACAACATATGAAGTATTAATAAATATACATATTTACTGAAGAATAGTAAAATACCGTGGGCACTACAGTAAAGCTACTGTCAACAGCGAGTTACTGTGACATAATGTATACACACACACGGAAAGGATTTCCTGAAAAACTCCAGGCTCTTCTTCTGTGTTAACAACCTGGACGTGCCCACGCAGACTGAAAAAAAACTCTCTTGAAACCGCAGAACGTCACCCACTAACAGGGAATGTGAGCAGGGGTCAGTCCGTGGTGAGACAGGATGTCTGCAGCCTCCTGATGAGGACCTGCTGCAGTTGTGACCCTGCTCTGTACGAGAGGAACCGCAGGGGCAGACGGCCGCCTGGGGCTCATGACTGAACAGCTCTTCGGGGTTCAGGTGCTCTGCTGCTGCACTGAGAGTGTTGGCAAAATCTACTTTTTCTGCAGGCAGGCAGGCAGATGCATCAGCATCTTCTTTGTTAGCAAGTCAGTGGTGCTCTGATTCAACAGCCTATTGGAACAGCGTCGTGTTCCACATGTGAGGGGGTGGGTCAGAAAGGCCACACAGCTGGAAGGGAAGCAGCCAATGAGAGCACTGCCAAAACCCAGGAGCCAGCCAGTTCCTGCACACAGGTATCAAGAAGGACCACTGGCAGAGTGCACACCTGATGGCCACTTGGCATCCCTCAACTCTCAAGATGGATTTAATGACCAAACTGCGTTCCTCTGCTGGGGCTGCTGTATGTGTCAATTGGAGATCAGGACCCACAGAAACGGGTGAAAAGTCGCCTGTGAATATATGTTATTGAGACACACGAAGGAGAATTCTGGAAAAACGCAGCATTAAAAGAACTAAACTGCTCTTGAAAATGGTGTACACAGTATATAGGTATGCACAGTATGGTTATCTTAACCTATCCACTATTTCATGCTTTTTTGTGTGTGTGGAATTTGAGGAGCAATTTTAGCAAATCTGCTTCAGCCGGTCTAGTTCACCTCTCACACAAATCCAATCGTTTTGGGCCTGGTGCAATTGCACCGATCAGATATATTATGCAGTTATTGACTGAACTTTAAAAAAAAACAATAATACGTTTAAAAAAATCAATGAAAGCTAAACTAAGATGCACCGAGTCTCAGCCTTCACTTTTTACTTTGCTGTGATCATGAGTTCTGATGCCAGTAAGAAACAGAACCTGCCCCTTCTCACTCACCCACCACACTCAGAGAGGCTTTCAAGCATTTTTGTTAAGACTACTGGAAATGTTCTTTCTTCCATTACAGCTGCACAAATAAATCCCCAATCCTTTTAATTCTGTGTGTGTGTGCGTCCAGCCCATTTCACTGTGCTGGATTCCTCCCACAGTAGACCAGGCAAGATGTCTGCTCCCCTAATTGATCCTTGTTCACGTCCGTCTCTATTGAAATTTATGGAACTGTGTTGAAAGAACAAGCCGGGAAAAATGAGGGTGGTGGAGAATCACTTCCCACAAAATAATACAATTAAAGCAAGATCCAAAGTCCAGCTCCCCCTTCCTAAGCCCAAGGAGCAAGAGAGTGGAACTAAAAATATACAGCTACCGCTGCAGAGGGGAGCCCAGGCTAGCGTTGCACCTCACTGGACTTCCTGCCCGGCTTGCTAGTTCTAAAACCATAAATCCAGAACACATGAAAAATATTTTAATAATAACAGTAGGGTTCAAGGGTAAACTGCCATGACCAAAGCCATCAAAATAGACTCTGCAAAGCCCCTGTCTTAAAAATCAAGCCCCTAAGAATTAAAAATTAAGTACATCTCTTCAGCTTCTGGATTTCAACAACACTGGGACAGGACAGATACGTGTATTGATTTTTAGTACAGTACTCATTTGCCTATCGCAAGGAAACCCCCAGCTTCAACCTACAAACGGAAACACCATCATCTTCAAAAAAATGCAAAGTACACACACTCAACGTCAAATAATACCGTTGATGTCTAAAATAACGTGGTTGGATTTAAAGTACTGTGTCAGTGAAAAGCAACAAGGTTTTGGTGATAACTGTTTTCTGGAACGACCGGGGAAGAGACAGGGACAGACATGACAGGAACTGGTCATCGCATCGCAGCCACGCGAACTACCACTCCAGGGAGATACATATAACAAACAGGAAGCAGAAAAGGGGCGAAGCTGGGGGTTGTCAACCTCCCCCTCCCCCCCTCCCCACACACCTCAAAGGTCACAGACGACCTTTGACCCTTCGAGGATCTCACTCCCAGCATTCCCATTAAACCGAGGAGAAAATAAGACAGGAGAGGGCTAGAAAACTTTCCCGGAGTAAAAAAAGAAAGGAAAGAATCTTCCCTACCAATCTGTCGGTTCGAACACAAACTGCGAAAGTCACGGGTTTTAAGGAAATTAAGGCATTTTTAAACACTAACGTACATGAGTGTAACAAGTGTGTGGATTTTCTCTTTTCCTGTTGTGTTTTTTTTTTTTAAAAGGCACCGAGTTCCTCTTGTGTCATTCGAACACTCCAGGGTCAGAGTCCCCTTTACTCCCTCCTGTCCGCTCGGTTGATCTTCCTTGTACACAGCCCTCAAGTGAAGAAAAACACGGAATTCGGATCCTCTCCTCGCCTCCAAACTCGGGAAAAACATTCCTTCTCGGGGGTTAGTGCCTGTTAATGAGAGTGTGATGGTCTGCCAAGAGAGCCAAAGATGGAGACGCCCCAGACACCCCTCTATCTGTGAGATGTCCAGGCCGAGTGTGATCTCACGCTTAAAACCCAAGCTCAGTTCCCTTTCTCCCTCGCACACAAGCTCACGGCTCCCAGCCTAGAATTGTTGGTTGGTTTTTTAAAAAGGAAGGAGGTGATTCCTGCTGCCCAGCTCTCCCTGCTGCTGCCCTGAATACCAAGAGGAAAGATAAGAAATACATCGACAAGAAAATGACACGTGTGTGTGTGCTTCCTTCCAGATTATCGGATCTGACCAAACGAACAAAAACAAAACGGTTTACACCCACTCACAAGAAAGAAAGAAGAACTCCATCTGTTCTCTGGAGTCGGAAAATGCAGTCTTCACTTCTCCTACGAGGACCAGAGTCCTGTTTTGCGTTTGTTTTTTGTTGTCGTCGTCAAATGTACGAAAAAATAGGTTCTTTTTTGTCAGTAAAATCTCTCTGCGTTTAAAAATATAACCCACCCCCTCCGCCACTGGCGTTACCGGTCTCTCCAAATCCTTCTCCGTCCCTGGGGGTGGGGGTGGGGAGATGGTGGCAGGGGCGAACGTCCTGCTTCTTCCCGCCCACTCGTCCGTCCCTGTCCGTCTGCCTCCCCCTCTCTCGCCCGCTCCGTATCCGTCGGGCAGCGTGGGCGCTCACCAGGCATGGAGAAATGTGTGTGTGTGTGGGGCGGGGGGGGGACGGACAGTGATGGGGGAGTGAGGGCTCACGAGGATGGAGTCCATGATCACGGGGGCTTCTCTACAACGCCGGCTCGTCTTCCATCGGCTCCTCCGGCGGCCTGCGAACCCAAACCGAACGATCGCTAATCATTGCTGTGCGTGACCCATGCTTTGTTCCTACGCTGCCTTACACCTGCACCCATGTCTAGAGCTGGGTATCGTACTGGAGCCATTTTGGTACAAGAGTCTCACCTGGGACATGAACCATTTCTCTTTTTCATTTCTTTTTCTTTTTGCCTGTCCCGTCAGGATTTTTGGGTATCTTTTGCTGGCATGGGCGTTCTCAAACTCGGAACAGCAGTTCACACTCTCTCAAGTCCTTCACATTAAAAGCAGGCAATTTCTTCAAACACATTTGCCCATTCATGTCCAATCAATGGTCAGAAAGAGCAGTATTCCTCTTTTTCTACCGTCCTTGCTTTAAGAACAGTGCACTGCAGGGTGTAATCAATGTCAATGTATATCACATTATATGGGTGTTCTGGAATAATTGTCATATCTGTGTAGTGTTTTTATGCTCTTTTACCATCTATGAGCTGTGTTGGCAACTTCATTTCCCCCTTGGGGATTAATAAAGTGTATTGTTTCGTGTGCCATCCTTCAGGCTAAGGCCCTTTAATATAACAGCCAGGAAACGTAGCCAATACGGGACGAGCTTTGCTCCACTGCGGTCCAATCACCAGTAAGTAAGCTGCTGATAAGGTCGGCCCCCCCAGGCTGTATTGCTAATGGGGACTAATAGGTAAAGGACACCTGAGTGATCATTTTCTGCATTCCAAGAGTGGCAGCCTCTCCTCTTTTCATGTGCTCACTCTCTGGTGAGGGTGAGGGTGTCTTTTGGGGGACGGATGACAGTCTCTTACAATACCCCGATAACACGCCAGGCCTGCCCACAACCACCCTGGTCAGCTTCCTCATGGCACGCCCGGGGCCTAGCTCCCCTCTCAATAAACCCCCTGCTGGGAGGGCGGCGGCGGAGGAGACGGTACCTGCTGGGCTCCTGGCTGGCCCCCTGCTCCGTGTCCACCGACAGGGACGCCATCGCGCTCACCGTCTCGGCCTCCTCCTTCTCTCGCCGCTGGGCCTCCAGCAGAGACTGGCCCACGGTGGCGGAGAGCCTCTGCACTGACTTCCAGTGCTTAGCTGGAAGACCACCCCCCCAAAAAAGGGCAAAGGTCACGTGGAAGAATCCCAACTCGGCAAGCCAGCAGTCTCTACCGCTCCTTTGTTTGAACTACATTCCGAGCTCGCTGGCACAGTCCTCTCCTTCGCTCCACCCTGCTGGGACCGTCCTGCTCCCTCAGGCTTGTCCATCCCTCTGTTCCCCTCCAACAGAGCCTGTTTTCGGCTCTGTGCAGCGCTAAATGTCCCCCCAAGCCCGTCTACATTGTATGGGCGACAGGGCCTTCTCCTGTTATGCCCCCAAGCTCTGGAACTCTCTCCCCAAGGATATCAGAGAGTCACCTTCTCTAAACTCCTTCAAACCCAGACTCAAAACCCTCTTCTTTAGAAAAGCCTTTACTTAACTGTTCCATTCTTCACCCCTCTGCTTTTCTTAGTACCACCATCCACGGTCTCCTCTATATATTGCAATTGTGTTTTATCTTGTGTATTCTTCTTATTTATTGTTGTTGTCATTCTGTAAAGCGCTTTGAGAAGCCACCTTTAAAGGCGCTATATCAAATTATTATTATTATTATAAATGGCAGGTGTCCCTGCCAACTCTGATCCCTGCGCCGGAGACCCTCGAGACCCGAGGTGTCTTACTCTGAATCTCGATGACCTTCTCCAGCGACGCCGCGGCCTTCGGGCAGGGCTTCCGCTGCACCGTGTCCTCTGGCAAGGGTTCGAGCTGCGGGAGAAGCAGGAGGAGATGCTGAGGCACGGGGAACGACGCCGGCGCTAGGGAAGGGCGCCGAAAACCGGAGACGCCCGTACCTCTTCGCCCAGGAGGGCGGACACACAGGACTCGGAGGCGTCGCAGATGGCTGTGAGGTCGTGACCCCCCTCCAGCGCCAGGACGACACGACCCCCCGCCAGCTTCATCAGCTGCTTGGTGAGGTGACCGAAACCTAAGGGGGGAAAAAACAGACGATCTAATGAGCTGATCACTCATCTTGTTTGGCTGATGCTTTTATCCACTGCACCACGGAGATGTACTCATTTATATGTTTTTACAGGAGCAATTTGGTAAAGCACCTTGCTCAACAACAATTCACCCTGATTGTCCTGCGGAATCTTGCAGAAACCGTCTTGCACAATCATGCCCTCCTGCAGGCTTCTGTACTGGTCCTTGTGGCCTCCATCGATAATGATGAGGAGATTTCAAAGGCAAATCAATGATGCACCACCAGGTGGCAGTGCTCTTCACAGAAAAACCCGCAAAAGCTGGATTTGCCAGACAAGTCAGTCAAATCTCAACTTTGGGAAATGTGCTTTATTTTTAGTGTTTGTTTTTCAACCTTCTACCACCTACTATATAGTAATTAGCAGTTAGTGAATTAATTGGATTGCTAGATCCCAATTAACTGAAAATCTATTAAGTGCCTTTAGAATTTAGTATGATTTAATAGTTATAATGATTTTAAATACTGTGATTATTGAACTTGCATATGTCACTAAAAAGACACATATCATTTAATCACAAAATTAAATCCACAGCTATAAGGAAACCACTCCAGTCCAAGCATTTAAACTGGAGACCTGAAACAGGAGGTAAACAGGCTCTGGGATGTGTGATCAGTGATCAGCGTCACCTGTGAACTGCGCTTGATGGACAGACTAGGCAGTCCATCACAGTTGGCGTCTGTGATGCTAAACTTTGCTTCCCAACCAGCAGAGTTTTTGTATTTTTAACTGGGAAAAAGAGCACTGGCCACTTGGTAACACACGTTATCAAAAATAAACAAAGAGCCCCCTGGAGATGCGTCAACCCTCACACTGAATACCTAGCATTAAACAGTGCTGGAATGACTCAGATTCTTTGGTCCTCATGCAACACATCCGTACGCAGGATCCTGTGTAAATGATCTGGCTCCTTCAATCTGAATGTCATTTGTTCCTCAACAACAAAGAGGCCTATCAAGATACGAATGATAAAACATGGCTGAATTACGGTTGTGTTGGGGAGGCTCACATTTGGCTGTGACGGAGTAGCCGCCCAGCGGAGACTGGTGCCCTTCCACTGCATCAAACCCAGCTGACACCAGAACCACGTCCGGGGAGAACTCATTGGCAATGGGCATCACCACCGTCCTGCAGAGAGACACATACACAGCCATATGAAGACTGGGCCTCAGGTCCCGTCCTGGCTGGTCTTCAGAATAATAATAAGCACATTTCTGGACCACTCAAAGCTCTTTACAGGTAATGGGAACTCCCCTCCACCACCAAAGTGTGCCAGTGTGCTCACTACATATCAGATATCAGTGGGGAGGAGAACACAGTGATGAAGCCCGCTCATATATGGGGATTATCAGAGTCTGGATACCTCGGATTTACATCTCATCCAAAGGACAGCATCCATTTTTTACATGACTGTGCCCCCTTCACTATACTGGGGCATTAGGGCCCACACAGACCGCAGGGTGAGTGCTTCGTGCTGGCCCCACTTCTTGCAACATCCTTAGCTTTCCCAGGAGGTCTCTCATCCAAGTACTGGCCAGGCTCACACCTGCTGAGCTTTACTGGGCTGCCAGTTGTGAACTGCAGGGTGATAAAGCTTCTGGCTATCCCAGTTCTGGTGCATCTGTCACTGTATGCAGGTGTCTCAGTTCTGGTACATCATGACTGTATGCTGAGTATTATGGTCAAGAACAAGAAAGGAAAGAGAGTTACAGAGTTTAAAGTAGGAGCACAAAAACACCAGTCCACCCACAAGGGAACTGGTCTGTGTTTATCTCAGACACGCCTCCAGTGACATTTTTTTAGCAAGCCATTGTAGGAAGTCAACCAAATCAGTATTTTAATTGCCCAATTAACATACAATGACTTAATTAACCATGTCACTGACGATTACTTGTGTGAGGATTACATCCCTTAAGATGCTGGGTTTGAGGAACAACATTTATTTCTTCTCAATCAGGAAAACACATTTAATATAAAAGCAAGAAAATACAACTAGGGAATTTACCATGTGGAAGATGCCAGGAACACAACATGGAACATGGTCTCTGATGGAAGTGCATTTAAACCCCAAAACAGGAGGCACTTCTTTACCAGAAGGGTGGTGGGAGCATGGATCAAAACTCCCCAGCCATGTGTCTGAAGCGAAAACTTTGGCTTCTTTCAATAAACTGCTGGGATCTTTGGATACCTGAACGCTGTTAGGTACTCCACGTCGCCCATCGGAGGGTCCACTCCTCCTGTCCACGCGATGTTCACGTTGTAGCCCACTCCCGGGCCTGCCCCCACCTGCCAAACACATGCCAACACATTATTATTTTCTACATATTTCACCCGGAAGTTTTATTTTTACGTGTCTGCAGAGGGGTGGATGTGGATTTCATTCATTAGAGCAAAGCACATCAGGAATATGTATGTTAAGGAAATTAAAACAATTTAAACCTCAGAAACAGCTATGACTAATAAGGACTGCACATTTGAGTCACCCTTTCTCTGTCCTGAACCAAACAGCGCATGTTGATGTGATGCACAACACCTAAAAACACATCTAATGAGGCGTATTCAATCTCACCTGCCACTCGCATTGCACCAAATACATGCAAAAAAACCCCCAAATGGACAGATGAGCTTCAAGAGCGAAAACAAAACACATCTTAATCAAATTGAATTATTATTTGTCTGCTTTCTGGTCACTCCTTTCTTAGCTGGAATTAAATTTCAAGACTCAAAGAAATAATCTCCAGGTATCACCCACCGTATCACCAACTATACTCAAGCCTCCTGTCTGTCTGTGCAGTGACAGTGCTGTCCTGTCTGTCTGTCTGTCCAGTGACAGTGCTGGCCTGTCTGTCTATATGTGCAGTGACAGAGTGGATCTCTACCTCCTCTGGTGCACCACTTCCTGGGAAGAAGTTGCCATCATCGTAGCGATGCAGGGAGATGTAGAGCACACTAGGATCGCGGTAGAAGGCCTGTTGTGTACCGTTTCCATGGTGGATGTCCTGTAACAATGTCAGCACATAAACATGGATCAGAAATCCAGCAGGAGTGGAACGGAGATGACAGCAAAAATGCTGGAGCACACAGTCAAAGAACTTCCTTCACATAAGAATCTCAATCACAAATGTGACAAAGAAGAGGCAGAGGTCTGATTTTTTGACAAACCAAGTCTTAGGTGTGCAGCGTGTGTCCAGGTGGGTCTCAGGATCCTGTTTTTATTTTTTATTTTTTCCTGTTCTCCCTGATCTCTGTACGACATAATTGGACAAATTACTCGCCTAATTAGACTATGCAAACATGTTTTCCAGATTACTCACGGGCCATTTAAAGACACCTGTCAAAGAAGCCTTTGTGGCTTTTTATGACCAGAGTTGCAGACCCCTGCAGAACCTACACCTGATGGCTTTTAGCAACATCATCATCCCCATCATGAATAGCAATATTTCATTTTTTCCCTGCAGAAAGCTTGAGGGTGATGAGTACACCAGCCTGGTGTTGACAATCGGGTTGGCAACAGGCTGCTTCCTTTGTCTGATCTGTGCAGCACTGCGACAGACCTTCCTCTCCACCCTCGTCACCCCCCCCCCGGGACGCTCACGCACCCAGTCCACGATCAGGATCTTCCCCACGTTCAGCTTCTGCTGCAGCAGCTTGGCAGCGATGGCCACAGAGTTGAAGAAGCAGAAGCCCCTGTGAACACATGCACAGCTGTACATCAGCTGAGATCCACAGCTGACTTAGCAAGAGGGGGTCAAAATATCATGCCAATACCAGTTAAGAATTACTGAGCCAGAGCCAGCTGCTTATACTGTAGTTCAAGGTAATGGCTCCAGCTGGAGAAAGGTGGACCAACCCCCTTAAGTACCAGGACCGGCCTACCCCTGGTTTAGACCCTACATGTGGAGGATTATTTATTGTATTAACACAGTGTTATCTTCCCATAAAAAAGATTCATTTCTACTTCAGACTGTAAGCAGGCAGGACTCATCGATGTTAGTAACCGAGTGTGGAAGGAACTGATGTGGCGTTTTGGGCCCTGGAACGTATTCCAACTGCACATAACAGCCTGCAAACGTGAGCCTGTGCGTTAGCGTTCTTTAATACATCTCCTGTTTTTTTTTCTCAACCACCAAAGTGCTCACGGCAAGCGAGAGGAACAAGTTTTATTTTTGAACCTCCAGAATTTGCTGGTACTCAAGCTGGTGACAGGATTAATATTCTACTATCATGGAACCTCCATCAATGCACCCCTGCATTGAATTAAACATCAGATGCTCTAAAGGTGGACAAAACAGCCACAGCTGAAGGTTTCTCAAAGTGCAGAGAAACCCCTCTCTCCAAGGATGAATACTGAGCAAAGTATCAGCTTTTGTTGTCTCCTTGTGGGCCTGGAACCTCTTGCTGGTCTATGCATCTTCACCTCGTGGTCATAGGAAAGGACCCAGAGTGGAGAACACTAGAGGCTGGAAGCCCCCTGCCCCGAGCTCACGTACATTGCTGTGGACTCCTCCGCGTGATGTCCTGGGGGGCGCACGACAGCGAAGCCGTTCTGCGAAGATCAAGGCAAGAAGAGCGAGCTCAAAATCTGTCAATATCCAAAGCAGGTGCAATGTGCACTTCACATCAGAACAGGGGAAGAATAAACTGGGCTGGAAATGTAACTGTGTTCCTTCGAGTACTGTAATGGAAACGTTCTTTCACGATGAGTACTGAGGTGTGTTAGATGTTCCATGCAGTAAACCATTAGCATTTGTCAGATGTGAATGTGAAAATGCTGTTTGGTCTCTTCTAAAGTATCCATGCTTACTGAATGCCCTTGCAGCAAAACCATCCTCCCAATGCTATAGTTCAGTCTGAAATCCAGCAGGAAGTGCACAGCCCTGGAGTGGGAGTGTGAAAACAGGGAGCGGGCAGCAGGCTCTTACCTTGAGTTCACCTGAAGCCACTTTGAAGGCAAGCTCGATGACACAGCCCACGGCCATCCGCACCGCGCTTGAGGAGTGCATCTCGTTCCACACGGTGTCGCTGTCCACCTACCGGAGACAGCACCAGCCCGCACGCTGAGAACGCAGCAGCCTGCCTCCGAACCCAACCTCCCACCTGTTTACAGTCTAGAACAACCACGGCCGCTTTACAGCCAAAAATGCCTTTCTCTGCTGCGGCTGCTGAGGCTGGCCCCATTCCTGATTAAGCATCCTTAGGAGACTGTGTTTGTGGATGAAGTGAAGAAAATAAAAAAAAAATACTCTCCTCTGTCATCCTATATGGTTCTTAAGCAAGCTAATCACATTTCAGCCAATCTGCCCATCTTGGACAGCCCTGTGTTCAGCCTCGACCGCCAGGAGCTCATAAGGTTTTCCTCCCCTTTAAACGGGAAACTTGGGCCGGGAGTAAAACCTTTTTCAAGGATCAACACAGTGGGTCTCCTCACACTCAGGCCAGTGGGGTACTGTGGGTAGTGATTTCCTGGCTGGACTGCCAATGTCAAATCCAGACCTCTGCTTACACAATACACGCCAGGGCTCGTCCACTGAGCGCTACCATCACCCACTACCTTAACACTGGCAACTGCTCGCATACCACACAAGACAAGGCACAATTACCCTGCTAAGAGCCCGAATGGCGTTCGGCGATAAGATAAGGGATCATGACTCACTCACCCCAATGCCTCCACAAGGCAGCACAGCGTACATCTTCTGACTAATTGGACCTGAAAGCCAAATTCAGAAGCAAGTAAAAGGTCAGGAGTCGGAATAACTCAGGTTCCAAGGCTTCACCAAACCCCCGATGAGACGGAGAGTGTGTTCGCTAGACTTCCTCTCTCCTAACACACAAGCATCTCATTGCACAAAGACGACTGTCATTAAAGACAGGGAATAGGGAAGATAGCTGCTGTAGCTCCAGCTGAAATAAGCATTTAGCACAAATACACTTGTTGCTGTAGTGATCATGAACTGGTGCAAATTTGAATTTTCACAATTCGGCTTTTAATTTTCAGTTTTCACAAATCCGCCCCAGCAGAGAAGTAACCTGTCATTATTCTTCTTGTGCAGAGTGTTTTGAATTTTATTTTCCCCGGAGCCCCCTAATGTGCATGAGACACAGGCCTTTTAAAAGGAATTAAAAGGATAATAAAGGGATAAATAGGATGAGGGTACCTAGAAGCTTCTTGCTGTCGAGTTTCTGCCGGTTGTGTGGGCTGGTGCCGTACAGTAACGTGTGATGCTCCGAATGAACCGTCTGGATCTCGTCTAGTGTCGCTTTCCTGCCTCGGATCCTCTGCACAGGAAACAACACAGGCGGCTTTCATGGGGGTTTGGATAAGGGCAAGTGGCCACAGGTGGAAATTAAGAGAGGCGGCAGTCACAAAGGAAAAATAAGGCCTTAGATAGAGGGTTGGGGGGGGTCTGAAACAAACTGGTCAGACTAGGTCAGTTGTGGTAGCCGACACTCTGACATCCAGACGATTTGGCTGGATGAGATTTTGGGATCAATTCATCAAATGGCCATTATGAACCACAATGGCTGGCTCCAGTTTGTAACTCCCTTTTCAGTTCTATTGCACCTTCAATATAAGTAGAATTGTACACAGGCTCTGAGAGCGCAGAGGAGAAATCGTTGTTTAGCAACTGTGCTGAAGTCCCAGTGGTCCTACATGTGAGAGGTGTTTCATCAGCCTGTTTTGAACAATGCTGAGAAGTTTTTTTTACATCATTTACTCAAAAACATACCATAAGCTGACACAGTGATAAGAGTGTTTTCCATTTTAGGTTCTGCAACCCAAGATCAAAAGAGGTGTAGAAAATGTGTGTTTTATGCAGTTTTTTGAAACGTGACACATTCTCCCAGATTCTGGAATCCACTTTAGTTTCACAGATAATACCTTAGAAAGCTGTTTAGCTTAGGAAACTTGGAAGAACAACTTTATCAGAAACTCAAAATGTAACTTTGGAAATTACCTAAAATCAGCTTGGACCAGGGACAGGCTGGGATTCTGAATTCTGAATTCTAACATTCAGAAGGAAACATGCAAGTGTCGTTTTTGAAAGTTTTTACCCCAATTTTGTACTTTTCTCACCCTGCCTCCAAGAGTTATTAAACTGAAGCAGGCAGTGAAGCTGATCACAGCAGCTTCCTAACATCTGTGGTACAAATCCTTTCCAGTCTGTGCCGGCAGGCAGGGCCACAGTGTGAACTGGCTCCAGCAGGAGGCCCTGCCAGCCTGTCATCCCTGCATGCAGCACACAAACAAATCCAGAATCTGTTTCCCGGGAGCCAAACACTCCTAAGGACTGCAGCTGGAAATGATGGTATGATGTGCTAAGGTTTGGATCAAGAACGACTGACCTAGATAGGAATTACTAAAAAAAGAGGCAATTTACTTAGCTGGCACCCTACACCTATTCTAAGTGAAAGATATCTTGAAATTCACAGTAAACATATTGGACAGAGCCAGCCAGTCAGGTTTCCTGGCAGTGGCATTCTGGGACTGTGAAGACTATTTGACTACTCTTTTCTGGGGCCCGGTGACCCTACTCCCCCAACCCCTCCTAAAACACATGATGTATCGTCCGACAGGGGGTGACACCTGACAGCTGAGCTGCAGCAAGGGTGGTGGTTGTGGGTGGGGAAAGGCGGCTGACCTTACCTCACACCTGCTGAGCAGCCCTGTCTCCTGCAGCCTGGACCACACGCTCTGGATCCTCCCAGCATGCTCTGGGTGGATGTTAGTGTTCCCGCACGTGCACATGTGTTTCAGCATGAAGGTATCGTACACCACACCTGGGGGGGTAGGGGGACACCGCAGGTACACATTTAAAGCACGAAAGGCAAGCCTCAAGAAACATCAGCTACAGGGGGTGGCCCAATCCTGACCTCTACAGACATGGGAGCCTGTAACACAAGCCACACTCTGGGATTGGGCTACTTATTTCAGGAGGGTAAGGCTTTCATGTTCAGGCAGGTGGCTGTGTCAGCGTGCGCAGGCTGCAAAGGAACAGGTAAAGCTCATTTCATGCTGAAAGGAAAAGAAAAGAGATAACGTTTCGGCTGTGGAGCCTTCTTCACCTTTCACCTAGGAATGAACCTTTTTACTGTTCTTTCTTTCATGTTGATGTCTCTCTGAAAGACTGTACAGTTCTCCTTCCAGGTGACTTGCACCCTGGCACAGGGCACCAAAATCATCTAGTTTCTTTACACAAAGGGTGGTGGGAGCCTGGAATTAGCTAACCAACCAAATCATTGAAGCTGGAAGAGATCCTTTGATCAATACACCACTAGCACATAACTAAGCAAGATGGCCAAGTACTCTCTTGTTGGTTGTGAGCATTCTCATGCCCTTATGTTCTAACATACAACAGGGGCAGTACAAAAAGAGACAGCTCTATGCATTAAAAAGATTCCGAAGTAGGCACACTTGATATAGCAATAAACATCTTGTAACTAAAAATGTTTCTTTCCTAATAAGGAACTTCGTCAAAGGAATTTAATATTTTTTTTATACTTTAAAGCCTTACACTCAATTATATATTCCTCTGAGTTCACTTTTCCTGACTGGATTATTTCTCAAGGAATAATTAAAGCGTATACAGCCGCAGGCCATTAGACTGCTACGACAACTTTGCATTGTTTTTGGTACTCAAGACACCTGTGCTTTGAAAATGTTTAATTTTTAGCCGGAATTCTACTCCATAGAGTAGTTTTGAACCACAGAAGGAAACAACCCAGGATGATTGATTGCTCACAGTCTGCAGCACTGAGCATGTGATCTTCTTTGGCAAGACCCTGGTGGTTATTTTCTGAAAGGTTGGATCTGTATGGCACAGCACTATGCACGCCCCAGGCTGACCATAACAGTGAGTGGAATTTTGTCGTGAAAAGTCATCTGGATGATCCTTGTGTTATTACAGTCTCTGCGAGCAGCGTGGATCGTTTTGTGCCAACCAGCGCTTGCGGACTATCACCAGGCCCCTGCCGCCCCTGCCTTACCTGTGGTGAAGAGGTGTTTGATGGGCTTCTCGCCCATCGTGGTGCCCTTGAGGCCGGCCGTGGCAGGGGAGGACTGTGTCCTTCCCAGCTGCCTGTGGGGCATGCCCGTGATCGACAGAGACGCCTGGAACACGTTGAGCTGCTGCAGGTGCTGCTGGTCCGAGAACTGAGGAGGGGGGTTGGGGGAGACAAACCAGAAGACGATCAGTGATGAGTCCAAACTACACGGACCCCTGCAAACAGGGCACAAAACCCCCCACAGGATAATAATCATGGAGAGGCTGGGGTGACGGGCTCTCGCACTGACCAGAGAGCCCTTTCTGTGGTTTACAAGGCACTGGACAAAAACACTTTAAGAGCCATCCCCAAAAGAGGAATTCGAGTCTCGATCGGAAAAGAAAAACAAAGATTGGAAAATGTCATTTTATCTTCCTGATCTGCCCACAGCTAGGATGTCTCCTGTTACCTCAGTGGTTCCCAGTCCTGGTGCTGGTGACCTCCCATACTGGCTGGTTTTCATTCCTTCCCACCGTAATTAGATCATTAAAGCCATAACTGATCTAAGAAGTTGCTTCAGTGGAATATTTGCACTTTGTTTCTAGTCACAGGTTTAGGATTTTACTTCACTTACAAAGCACAACGGTTAAAGATCCAACATGTTAAAGAGCTGGGAACAAACAGTTCACATGAATGTTATTATTAAGCCAATGAAGGGTTTGATTGTGTAACTGTTGGGTTTTGCTTCAGCCGAGCTCTCAGGTCTGCGGGTCACCAGGTCCAGGACTGGGAACCACTGTGTAAGGTGGTGCAGGAGAGTAGCAGGGAACACTGGTGTCCTTCCAGCCCAAAGCTCCTTCGAAGGAGTCCACTGTGGAAAGAGCAGCATAATTGAATAATTCCAATACACAGCCTCGGGCTGGCAATGGCCATTCACAGATGAACAAAAAGAGTCTGTTGAACAGGGGAATCTGGTTTTACTCATCGACAGTTTTTGTAAAATATACAAAGCATGACGTAACGGTTTATTCTGAAAGGCAGCCTGCAGCATTCCAAGGTTCGATCGTATATTCAATTCCTCTATGAGAGCTTGGAGATGTGGCAAAGCTCTCAATGGGGGGATATTAAGGTACATAGGGGAAAACAGGTGTGGTTTTCTTCGTGCATCGTCAATTTGAATTGGGGTCTGCAAGACAGTGCTGAATATGAAACCACAAAAGTCAAACCCCTTCGACAAATCTCTTAATTTTAAAAAATAACAACAGACTAGGAAGAACAATGCAGCATTCGCTCTGCATCTGCTTGTCCCTGGATCTCACCCTATTAAAATTCACATCTCTGTCCTTCGCAGACTGCCTGGGAGAATCTGTATTCATAATGCATAGCAGACGGGAAGAGTGGCAGCAGGAGAGAAATCCGAAAGAAAGAAGAGGAGCGAGAGAGGGAGAGGGGGAAAAAAAAAGTAATGCAAAGTTAACATCCTTCCCTCACTCGAACGATGTTTTGCGAGGGAGCTGTCACTGCGGCATGATTTTTTTTCCCCCTCTAAAAGCAGCCTTACAAGCGCCTTGAACCCAGGTGGGCAGGGGATTGAATGCAGAGCACGGAGCTGGCGGTGGGGGTGGGCAGAGAGAGAGTGAGTCATCAGCCAGCGATGACTCACAGATGAGCCCATTCACAGCTTCACTGGCACTTGTACTCTCTCAGATCTGGAAGGGGAGGGGTAGTGGGCGCGCTCAATGGATGGATGGAGCCTGGAACACTCTGTGGATTTCTTTAATTCTTTGACAATTTTTCTCAATGGTTTATTTTGAAATAAGTACGGGGCTTCTACACTCGGGTTCTCTAAACAACTGCAGTCAAAGTCCTTCTGTCTTCCTAGCACAAGAGCTCTTGAGAATTGAACTGCAGAAATAATTGGGACAGATATGACTCGGACTTTGAAACCCTGTGCATCTGATGCCATTAAATTCTGCACTGCAATCAGGAGCTCTTGGGTGCTTCAACCATTAAAGACATTTTCCAGAGAGCAGGTTGAGCTCAAAGGTGAAAGCATGGCTGATTCTGGCCTGGTTTATTATTGGGTAGCAATGAGTAGGATTGATCAAGCAGTGGTGCATCATTTCCCAAAAGCCACTAAGGGTGGGTGCGAGTCTGCCAAGGCTGTGACTTTCTGCAAGACACAACCGAAGCTCTATCACCCAGGCATCATAATTCGAACGTGGGTCACACCACTAGTCTGCTGCGATCAGGATTCCTCAGGAAAGGGCGCACAAATGACAGAGTGTTTTGCCAGGTAGTCAAGCTGGGATTAGTCAGGCAGAGGTGTCTCCAGTGACTCCTGTGGCCTCCTGTCAGGACTGGGGAACTGGCACGATGTCAAAAGATTAATGGTGGAATACCCGCTGGTGATTCCTACTGGGGAGTATGTAACAAAAAAAAAAACAATTAGCTATTCCAAGTAAAAGAAAAGCTGAAAGCTCAGATGGACCAAGATTACAGATGACCGTCTGGTACTGTACTGTGCTTGAGGAAGCAGTTTGAGGTTGAACAAGGCACAAACCTGACACAATAAAGCTTAAAAACAGGCATGTCCATAACCTATGAATGATATAACAAAAACTAGTAATCACAAGGGGAAAACTGGAAACTCCTATGGTAATTCTTGTCTTTTTCAAAACACAGTCCAGGGCCTGAAATGTGTGCGTCCTTGTGTAATTTCCTTTTGTATGGGAACATGTTGCTAAAACGGTGTCTGACTCATGTTCAATGGATCACATACAAAAGGAATTAATATTGAAATGTCTTCTCCATGTTCTCTTTACATAATGTCACATTACACAACAACCTCTGGTGAATACGAGCAAAATGTTCATTTTTGTTGCCAATGCCACAGCTTCATCTCCTGTTTGTTAAAGCTGATGTAGTTCTATACAGGAGGGAAACCAGCTCATTCCAAACTGGCCTCCCACACAGTGCAACACATCTCTATAGGGTGGAAGGCACATCAATGGCGTATCAAAGGCGCTCTTCTGGCTATCCTGCCCCTTTCAGACTGAGAGCTGTTCTGACATCCCTGCAGGTTGTGGGCGTTTTGTGCCTGTGTACCTGGCTGTAAGGTATTCCCTGATCGTCGCACTCCTTCAGCTCGATGGGCTCCTCGTCCTCATCTTCCTCTTCCACCTCGCTCTCCGTGTTCTCATCCTTCAACGTGATTGGCTGCTGTTCCAGAGGGGGCGAGAGCTCCTCAGGCCCCTCCTCCTCCGTCAGCGTTGGCCCCTCCCCTGGCTCGGCCTCGCCCCCTCTGTCCTCCTGCATCTCGGCCGTCTCGGTCAGCTCCTCCTCTGTCTCCTCGGGGTGCGTGGGGGGCGGCCGGGGCAGATCGCTCCCCTTGGCTAGCATCTGAAACAGACGAATAAGTGGAGTTTGAGGAGCAAAAGGGGGAGGTGGCATTCAAATTAATTGATAAACAAAAAAAGATAAAAAAAATAGATTGGGCACAAGGAGGAAGGGATGCATACAGAGAAACATAAACCTCTCCATCTGGTACTTTTACATTGATGAATATGATGATGAAACATGTAATAAAAATACCATGAGAAATGGGAGGTATATAATCATCTGATATTGCACAAATATCGAGAATATTATCCAGAATATTCCCTTAGTTCTTACTCTCCCACAAATAAAATAAAAGATCCTGTTTTAGGCGGAGAGAAGAAATCCTTTCAGGATCCTGGTGACCCAGCCCTCTGCCCCAGTGTCTCTCCGGCGCCCCCTACCTTGTTGAGCTGGATCTGCTGCTGGTACTGTTTCTGCTTCTCCAGGAAGTGCTGGTGCTGCTGCTGCATGACGAGCTGCTGCAGGGCCTGCGGGCTCTGGGGCAGGGGCGCGGACTGCGTGCGGCTCAGCGGCCGGTGGCGGGGCAGCTTGTTCACCGTGCGCATGTTGGCGGACACCCGCTCGCCCGTCACCAAGGGCGACTGGCCGTAGATTGGCACTGCGGCAGAGAGAGGGAAGCGCAGCATCGCAATCAAGTCCTTGCCTTGCTGCCAAGCTACTGTAAAAGTTGTTTTTGCTCTACGCAAGCGGGCACAAAATTCAAGGGTGGCGCAGTGGCACGTCAGTCAGCATTGCTGCCTCGCAGTGCTGGGGCCCCTGGGTTCAGTTCCTGGGGGTTCTGACTGTGTGGAGTTTTTTAATGTTCTCCCTGTGTTTGCAAGGGTTTCCCCCAGTTGCTCCGGTATCCTCCCACAGTCCAAAGACATACTAGTAAGTTAACTGAGACCTGGGAAAACTGGCCCTGGAGTGTGTGTGTGAGTGTGTATACCCTCAGATGGACTGGCGTCCTGGCCAGGGTGTACCCCTCCTTGCGCCCACTGCTTGCCAGGGGAGAATCCAGCTCTCCTGTGACCCAACACTGGACAAGTGGTTAGAAAGTGGCTGGCACTTTCAGGGTGATATAGGTGCTGGCTATAGGCTAGCAGCTATATCGCCGGAGGTCAGTCTTTGAAGAGTAAATAACAAGGCTGTTCCTGAATGAGCCTGCAGGACTGGTGGAATGGAGATGTCAAGTCTTCCCGCAGTGAGCGCCCCCCTGGAGGAAAGTAATACCCCTCTTGCTCCTGAATCCCAGCAGGGGCCCTGCCCTCGTGTTTGTACCTGCGAGCAGCGCGCTCTGCTGGCGGGCCTGTTCCAGCAGCAGGACGTGCTGGAGCAGGGATGAGTGGCTGTGGCTGTTCGCTGGGGGGGGCTCAGCGTCGTGGGGGACCCCGGGGGTCAGGCAGGCGGGCAGAGAGGACGTGCTGACGAACTTCCCTGTGAGGGCGCCGCCCTGACGCATGGTCTGTATGGCCTGCCGCTCCGCCTCCTGCTGGGCAGACATCTTCTGTGGCGCCTGGGCGAGAGAGGGGCACACACAGGGGCATCATGGGTAATTACGCAATGGCCAATCCGGGAGTGTGACGAGGCGGGACTGTCTCCACGCAACGCCTGAAAACTGCTCTCTGCATTGAAAAACTCCTCCATTCAGAACATTTACATTTCTTTTAAACAAACATTTAAGCATTTACAACAAACTATGTTGTGGACTAATCTTTCATCGTTTAATTTGTTCCAAAATGCAGCCCCCAGGCTAAATCGAAACTCACCTTCTTCCAGCCATAAAATACAACCTCCACACTTGATGGGGAGTTGCAACTGGGCTTAAGGAAGAAGGCTCCTACAAGTAAAACCGACATCAAACTGGAGATCTAACACAGGCTTTTAATGGGACATTTCCAGCTTGCAAATGCCACCTCAATTAGAGCAATAAACGTGTCCCCAGTGGTCAGGGCAGAGACTCCAGAGGGCATACTCACGGCGATGTGCGAGTTGGCAGCAGTGACAGAGGCTGGCAGGCCCAGGGAGATGTTGGGGAGAGACGGGGAGGTGTAGAGGCTGAGCTGACTGGCAGAGGAGTCTGTGTTCATTGTGTGATGGTGGGATCGCATTTGCTGAGAGGTGTTCAAGGGGAGACAAACACAGAACAAGGAACATTATGGCATTCCACACTGTGACCCTGCCAAAGACTGAGCGTTGCTGCCATATGTACAAATCATCAAAGCTCTCCCCAATCTGTGATGCTACATTTCCCAATCAACACAATTGTGTTCTATCTTCATGAGTCTCTTTATATTAGATTTACTGGGGACATGCTTCAGATCCGGGCAAAAATCCTTGACTACAATAAGAAAAGCACAGAAAAATAATAATAATAACACAACTCTTGCATCCCATATTTGCCTGCAGTACTCCAAGAAAATACCAACCCAGATTTACATTTTGAAAGTTTACGCTTGCCATATAGACATAAGGGATTTTTTAAGACTGTGTATTCCCTGTTAAAACTCTCTTTACCTTTTACTTAGTTCAAATAAAGCAGCAACAGGAATTACGACACTGATGAGAATGATTAGAATCCATTATCAGTAAGCCTCTTGTCCTGGTAAAGCCAGAGAAGATTAGGGCACGGGTTGGGACCGAGAATAAACCAAGGGTCTGCTCAGCCCCCTAACCACCACAACATCGTGCCACAGTAAAGCACACTCAAATTCCCAACAAGCAGCTGGTAGATGTCGTTTTGAGGCAGAAAGAGGGAAGAGTAATTTCAAAGCAGCGATCAGCTGTTCAGCAAGCCTGGGTCTGTGTGATGCACATACGCCCCACCGGCGCAGTACCGTACATGTTGCGTGAGCTGGATTGCGCACGCACGGAGGAGGAGGTGAGAGAGAGACATGCCTGTTACGCAGGTTGTCAGCCACCAAGCAGGGGTGACTCAACAGGCTGCTCCCTGACAGTACGCCGAGGAAAGAAAAACGGAGACACTGATTGCAATTTACATTCCTTCTGGAGTTACAGCGTCTTCTTCTGGTAATGTCACGCTTTGATTTTCGAGATGATTAATTACACCGATCGACTCAAGCATTTGTCACGTAAACCAAAACAGCAAAGTGCAAAGACGAGACTGGGCTATTTCGAGCACTCAAATAGCCGTTTAATGAGTCGAGGTTCAGCTTTGGCATTATTATTATTTTTTCTGTTCTGATCCACTGACGGCGTTAAATTGGCTGGTGCTAGAATAATTTTCTCGCCGATTGCGACAGCAGATTATTTTTTCCAGCCAAGCAGCTTTCATTTATCCATCCCATGTGTGCGGGGAGGAAAAGTTTCCGAAGGGTGTAATTACTAGTAAAAGGAGAAATCCGCAGCAGTCAAACTCAGATGTCAGACAGGTTGAAGTGACTCACGCAGTTCATAACTCAGTGCCGCCTGCTGCTCTGACGAGCTTGTACAATCTCTCGCCCCATAGCCCAGTCACTCTGCGGCTCTTACACCTTGTGTGTTCATTCACATCTTGCCCATGATGTCAAACAAGCATTACTAAGAAGCTCAAAAAGGCCCAGATAGACAGTGTACTTACTGATAACAGATCTACTCAAAATGAGAGCTTGAATCAGTAAAGATGCTTGTTTGCATCTTGCCCACACATCATGGAAACACTCTGAGCTATAGCGTTACTCAACAACGACCAAAACTCTCCAAAGACGGGTGCAGTTACTGCCGAGGTCGGGTGAAACTGAGTAGGTTTGACTAGCAGGGCAACAGCACCTCCTGGGACAAGCTGGGGACCTGTTTGCATGCTGGGCTTTCCCTTCCAGTCGATCCGGCTCCTCTACACACATTATGGAGCTCCCAGTATATGGTGGATGGCTCTGACATGTTCTCGTTTTCAGAAGAAAGCATGCACAGTGCTACGTGTCTTACCCTGCACAGATACAAGGGTCAGAATAGCCAACCCCAGCGAACGTAAGATTTGCAGATTCCAAATTGGGGGGGCGGGGATATCTATCCATCCATTTTCTATCCATTTCCTCCAACCTGATCCAAGCCTATCGCAGCAGGCACCAGGTGCAAGGCGGTGTACACTCTGGATGGGATGCCAGTCCATCGTAGGGCACACACAGACGCAAACACACACACTCACACCAGGGTCAGTTTTCCCAGAAACCAATTAATCCACCAGTTTGCTTTTGGAATGTGAGAGGATACTGGAGCACCCGGAGGAAATCTGTACTAACATGGGAAGAACATACAAACGCCACACAGATAGTGCCCCAGGATTATGAAAATGTTATAAAAAATAATGTGTGCACAAAAATTAGGAAAGCGACTTGACTCCCTTCCATAACGAGATTGTTCGGGAGCTGTACTGACTGTACTGAGTGTTTTGTCACAAGACTGAATAGACAGGAGAAGACAAAGTTCCTTACTATGCTAATTTTCCTCACAGTGCAGCCAAAGACTGGCATCTGTTTCCCACTGGCGTCTTTTAGTTTTCTACAAATTTACAGCACGCAGTCTCAAGGTTAATACAACTTAGGATATGGGAAGAATTTTTTTTTTATACATTTGTGCTTCTTCTATAGCACAACCATATGTTCACTGATTAAACCTGAGGCCTGCTGGTCGGACGTTTTAGAAGAACCCGAAGGATCTCAGATCGAGTCTCAGCTCTTCCACAGGTTAACTGTGCGATGCCCTGAAAAATGAGTCTCAGCTCCGTCGGGCTCAGTCCTTCAGAGGGGGCATAAAACCGAGGTCCTGCTGGAAGAGGCTCTGCACACACAAGCTCTAGTCTCTGCATTTATGCCTCGCTAACAGCCCCTTTCCTGGATTTCCAGCACCTGTGTAAGAATGTCGAGGTGGGAGAAATGAGGAATGCTGGGATGCTCTGGAGCTGTGATTTCTCCTAAGCCTTCTCTGCAGCAGCTCATTCTGCAACCTCTCTCAGAAACCCGAAGGGCAAAAAAAAGGCTCGATAAACACTTAATAGAGGCACTGCGGATGACATCAACTGGGAGACGTGGGAAAGCTGTGAGTCAGCCTGCTTACGGATACCAGGGTGGGTTTTGTCTTCGGCGTGACGGAGCTACGTTGCCCCTTCATTTCCTTTTTCAAGGTTAAAATGGCCTCAAACACTGAAGTTAACTGCCAGCTTTTGGAGCAAGACGAAGAGAAGCCAGACATACAGCTAACTCTCCAGTGACTCTTCTGCGTGGGGTGTTCTCCACTCACTTCTGGTTCCTTCTGCCCTCCAAACAGGGGGTTATCCCCATATCCTGCACACTAGTGCAAATGAGCCACAGTTCTTAGGACATACTCAAAACAACTGCCCAGATGTGGATATGCACAAATGCTGGGATGTGAGGAGGTGGAATGAAGGACTGGGAAAAACTTCTCCTAAGGAATCGGGGAGCCAGGGCAGCTCTCTTGCCCACAGCAGGACACCGAGAGCTCTTACCTCAGCGTGGATGTTGGGCACAGAGCCACTGGATCCGTTCTCGGCGATGGCACTGTTGGAGCTGTTAGGGGAGCTGGGACCGGAGCCGGGGGCACTGCTACACACGGAGGACACTGCAACACACAGAGGCAGGGAGGATCAGCGCGTGCCCACCAACACACCAGTACAGCCGGGAGACTCCCTCCACTGGGACCAGTCACTGGTCCCAGTTCCCAGTGGGAACTGCATGACTGGACTGTTGCCTGCATTAAAATGATCAACTCCCAAATACAGCAACACCAGGTCCTGTATAATGCACAAGACCGCTGGTTTGGTGTCCTCTCTCCGATTGGTGCACGGAGCACCTGTCCGAGAACCTTATTAAAAACCGGGAGGCCAGGTGAGCAATCATGAGCCCTCCCAGGTAGAATAAAAAGTATGCCCCTGTTCCTGGAGCCCTTCCAGACTGTAATTGCTACTCACTGCTATTAGTAGAGGGAATGAAAAAAGCAAGGTTTAGCAATAAAGTCAATAGGTCAGCTGGCTGGGGAGCCCAAAAGGAGGCTGAGGCTCTTAGAAAGTCCTGGTGTCACAAATTAAAAAGGTGAAGTGTACTTTGAGTAATCTCGGAAGTCCACCAGCCCACGTGACACAGCCACACAGCTCTCCCCAGCGTCCTTTCCAAGAGCTTAGCAAAATTATCTGAGACCACGAGATGGAAATTCAGGATGTAAACCACTTAACTGTGGCCCCTAAACACATTTCTGAGGCTGAGCTCCTCCTGTCTGCGACCTGAATCTCTTGGTTAAGTTGATCTATTTTTAGATAAAGTCTATTTATCAATTAGAAAAAGAGCATTCAACATTTTGCATGCATGCAGGTCAATACACATACACTAGTATAATGCATATATAAAGTCCAAAAAGTAATTATAGGTCGTAGCATTATTTGCTTAATTACCAAGAAAGCTCAAAAGGTGAAATGTTGCATTTCTGCCTTCTACTTTTCAGTGCTGAATTAATCTTAACTTTTTCCTTGAGCACACAATGAAGCAGCTCTCCTGTCAAACCTGAGCCAAGTTTAATAAAATAATGTACCTAAGTAGCAGTTACAATTTCTAAGCAAATTATTAAAGATACAAGATGTGCACATGCAAATGGTCATATACAAAATGATACAATACACAAACACACATATGAATGTCTATGTTGTACATAAAGGCATTTATGTAGTTGCTGAATTTAGTCATTTGTTTAACAAATTCCAAGGGATGAGCAACTGGGAACCCGAGCAGCTTCCTTTGAAATTTGTAGATTTAAAAAAAAATCCATAATTATTATTAGTTGCAAGGGAGTGTGTTGACAGTCTTGCATTCGTGGTGGGATTGATATCATCATCATCATCATCACTCTGACATGACAGTATTGCCCACCTGACCCACCTGGTCATTACATAACAGCAGACACACTAACTCAGGGTATCACACTCTGTTACGTTAACATTAAATGCTCAGAAAGAATGTGCAGTGCATACTGGACACAGTAAAGTCAATGAACATTCATGAAGATTTTACCATGAAGAACGTTTTTTTTTTCCCATATCTAGGATCATCTAGGATACCACTGCATTACTAATGAGGTGGGACTCCTGATGCGTGGCCCTACTTAAACACTGTGCATTGTTAAAAGTGGTATTGTGAAGTCTTTGGTCTTTTCAGCTTTTTAAAACCTGGGGAAAACTGAAAGGAAAGTGGAGGTTTCTGCTTTATTACAATGAGGATGATGTCCTCAGTGATAATACAGTGCTAGGGTGGTGTGGTGGCTCTGTGCCTTTGGCTGGAAGGTTGCTGGATTGTATCCCGCGGCCGGCAGTGGAATCCTACTCTGTTGGGTTCCTGAGCAAGGCCCTTCACCCCAACTGCTCCAGGGGCGCCGTATAAATGACAAATTCCTAATACAAGATATTGTATATGGCCAATAAAGTGTTCTTTTACAACCACAAGAAAACACCAGCACAAAATAGAGCAGACACAAACACCAAGGTGCCTGGAGGCTCTCAGTCTTCTGTATCAAGCAGGCTAATACCGGCTTCTAATGTGAGCATCTCCGATCCTCAGAACCTCAGAACTTCATCTCACCTCTAATCTCAAATATTCGATAGAGCCAATTATTTGAAATAAGAAATCAAACCACATGCCACTTGAAGCTTAATGCTAATTGAAACCTGCAGAAGGTCTTTCTGGGAATGGGACCTCTAAGACCTGGATTTGCCCATCCCTGGTCTATACCAGTAATTCATAAGTAACATAACAAAATGGGACAATTCTAATACATTTGGGGAAGCTGAATTTACAGGGCAGGGGTCTAGATCTTAGTTGTGAATGTTGTTCATTTTCCTTTGTAAACATTGTGTAATAGGCATCACAAGGAGGTCAGAGCGCAGGGTCCCCCATTCAGCTGCTGTGACTCGGAAGGGGGCGTGTTCGCCCAGCTGTAGCGACCGGGGGCTCACCTGTGATCTCGATGGCTCTCTTCTTGAAGGTACTGATCACCGTGCCGTCCTTCCGCCTCAACAGCGGGCTGCTCCTCCGCTCCGCCACCTTCTGTTTTAACCTGGAGCGCACCTTCAGATTGGGCTCGGAGGCTGCGGGAGGAGGGCGAAGAGGGAGGCGCTGCTCAGTTGGCACAGAAATCACCACCTGACCAGCAGCCATATCACCCTGCAACTCGCGCCTGGCAGCTGAAGCAAACACTGAGGGAGAGTCTGCAATTCACAGGCATTGCCCTTGGTAACCTGACCATAATACTGATCGAGCTCTGTGACACGAATTAAATCCTGCAAATACACTACATGTGTGTAAAAGAAATTGCAATATTTATAGTAACATCTAATTACATGTAAATGTGCTTGTAAATTTGCTCTGTTTTCTCCTGTCTGGTGGCTGAAATATCTTTTGAAGTTCTTAGAAACACCGATTACGCTGTCATAACAATTCCTCATGTGGACAGAGCATTGAGCAAGTAAACCGGTTCAGGCACTTGGAGTGGACTGTCCAGAACCACTCTCAACTTCATCAAGACGCATCCAGCACAAGACCCAGGGTGGTCCACGTCCTGCAGTCCTCTAGCCAAAAGGTCTCTGGTTGGTTCAGTTCAATGAGCTGCTGACTGACTGCGCTTCTCCAAAACCGGAGTTGGGACCACCGCCTTACCCCATCTAAAAATGTCTATAAACAAACCTGATATTTACATCTAGATCACCTGTACTAATAAATCACCTGCACGATAATAATACATGCATACACTTATATAGAGCATTTCCTGGAGCTCCACTCGAAGTGCTGTACAGGTAATGGAGACTCCACTCCACCACCACCAATGTGCAGCCCCACCTGGATGATGCGACGGCAGCCATAGTGCGCCAGTGCACTCCCCACACATCAAACACTCACATAGTGCACATGATACACATTTTCATCGGTCTGAAAAGCGCCAGGAGTTACAGTGTGTGCGCGCTGGATGTGGGGGTGAGCAGGAGGCTGCTGAGGGCCCCGTGAGACCCGTGTGCAGAGTAATGAGACTCAGCATCAACCTTACTCTCAGTCATCACTCCGTCAATGATGCTGCGGGAGACGGAACGAAGTCTGTTAATTCTATTATATCGTATTAGCCTGATCTCCTCTCTCATGAAATAAAATAAATATAGAAAGGATATCAGCATGGCTTTCACGTCATGCCTGTGAGAGAGATCTGTGCATGTAACAATGACAAGCAGAAGACTCAGCCAGAATAGAAGAAGACTCCATATAATATGATTAGGTCTGGAAAATACACAAACTCATCCCCTACCTTATGTATAACCAGCATTATGGCTGGTTCCTAACTCTACCTTATCCCTGGTTTGAAGCTAAACACTTGTGAGTAATTGTGTTTTGTTACTCTCTACAGTTTATTTTGTCACAACTTTGTGCTTTGTGACTCCCTAGTTTAAAAGTCTCATGTCTCCGTAGTAGGAGGTGCGATTTACAAAACAATTTACAAACAGCAAAATTCTGATTATTACCTGTAGCTTCTGAGCCAATCTAGGTGCGGCTTAACAGGGGGCTTTCACACACTGGGGTGAACCAGGCCAGAATCTGATGGAGACTAGCTTTCAACAGAGCCAGCATCAATGAAACCAAGAAAGGGGGTTCTGGAATGGCTACTGATCTAGCCTACTGGGGGTGGGGTTTGGGATAAAAACAGCCAAGGGATCAACTAGAGTAGTACACTGCTTTTAAAAGAAGACCCCCGGGCTCAACCCTCTCCAGAACGCCCAGATTCCTGTCCACCCCTCCAAACACAAACTAACACGCCATCCAGATTGCTGTTAAGTCCGATTTTGCAAACAGCTCAGAATTACTAAATAAAATAGAGACAGCAAAATAAAAAAAATAAAAATCAAGACAGCCCACGCTTATTCAGTCCTCTGACAGAAACTGTGTTTAAGTGCAGGGCTGAATAGCTCCTCAGTTGTACGCTATGCTAGCCTTTCAGCACAGAGGTAGCTGCACCTCCGCAGATGTCCCTCCCCAGCGTCTGAGGCTGTGACTCATCCTGACTCACACCTGCAGACGCACTCTGCGCTGAACACATCAGCCTCGGAACTGAGAGCGGAGATGCTGGACGCAACTGTGTTCACTCGCTGCTCTCTCTGCAAGAGCGTTAAGGCCAGTGGCGGTTTGAGGGGGCTGCTGGGGTGTCAACCTTTTCCCCCCTATTTTGCAAAGATCCCCTCTGGAATCCCCATCACCCCACAGTCCCTTTATCTCGCTCTGCTGTCACACAACGCCCCAGCTTCTCCGAGCGACATTGACGCAGACCTTCTTAGAATCACTGCTCGCATGCGTTAACAAACAGTGAGAAAGCAAGAGGCTGGCGGATCAAGCTTTATAAAGGCATGCAGAGCTGACGAAACAATAGTGATTCAGGGACTCCCCCCAGCAGGGAGGGGGAGGGATATGTGGTTGATAAAGTGTAAGGCCAAGTAATCCATTGTTCTCGATCTTGGGTCAATAACCCTTCTAAAATATATACTCAAGGTTCATATTTCCAAACTGGATGATGATAAAATATTTGTATTATTATTATTCAGATTTACCACTTGCTTAGAGAGATTTAGGATTATTTTATCCAGTCCACAAAAGCTTTTAAACTACTTAACTGAACTTGTTCAACTAAATGATCACTTGCTCTTCTAGATACCTAAGGAAACTGCAGGTTTCCTGTCCACTGAGAACTACAGCTGCAAATTCCCTCCTATAAGCAGCTGATGAATGGAAAAATACCTCTTCATCCTATAGCAGGCATGTGTGGGATCTGATCAGGCATGGTGAATGTATTCTTATGTGCTGCCTGCAAGGAACCCTGTATAATCATGAACTGCTAAGAAAAGATCCATCTCAGTCTGCATGCCAGAGCAACAGCGAAGATATCAGAGCGACAGTGAAGGAGTTGAGGCCTACAGGGGGCGTCAGGCTCACCTGTCTTTCGTAGGGGGAAGTCGTCTTTGCCATCATAAGCACCCAGCAGGGGAGGAAGTTTGTAGGAAGGAGGTGTCCCGGGAGTGTTACTCTGGGGTGGGGAGCTCTGGTCCAGGGAGGTGTGATGGGCTCCCCTGATGATAAAATTGATGAGGAGGTAAAATAAAAATCTCCGCTCACTGCAAACACTGATATGCCTTTTCCCAGTCAATCAATATCAAGATCAGTAACTTTAAAGTTAGAAAGCTGGCATTGCACTGAAGACAAAGGCTTCAGATGATGATTTCAGAGAGGCTTCTCTGCAAATCCATTCTCCAATATGTTCCTAAAATCCTCCTTCTGGAATGTGGCCAGCAGAAAAACCAGCCTGCTATTGCTTAAAAAGCCTCGTCATGATTTTCTCCTGTATGACCAGAAGCTCAGAGGTAGGCAGGACAGTCTGTTCTGGCATTTGAAAAGGGTGAAGTAAATGAAGAAAATGCACTCATTCGCACTGGCTTGGTATTCATAAAGGCACATACCAGCATTTCTGGGGAAAGGAATGGTTGAGTCCACCAGATGAGGGTTCTTTGGATTTGCTGAGGAGAAACTCCTGCAGCTTTAACTTAACCTCTGTGCTGGCAATTGCACCTGTGCAGACAGACCAGTGAAGAAAAGAACACATCTACCATTAGAAACCATTAAACGCAGTCTTGCTCAAGAAGAGCCCCCAGAGTTTCCTGCAAGAACACAGTGTGCTACCATCAGGCATTTTTCCACACGCTGCTTTCAAAGGTATTTCTGTAATAAGCTGCTTTCCGAGAACCGCACATGGAAAGTAAAGGCATCTGCGCTCCAGTGAATATGTGTCTGTGGTTTAGCGTATCCGTGCATTAATGGGTTATTTATGTGTGCTTGTCAGTGCATTAGTGGAAATGCACCTGGGCTTAGTGAAGTACATCTCAGTGCGCTGGCCTGAATGTACCCACACATTAGTGCACCGGTCCACAAGTGCAGGTGTATAAGAGCATCTGCATGTCAGCACGTCAGTGATGTGTCTGTGTCTCAGTGAGTTTCTACTTGTCAGTATCTTACTCTCTTTGCCCTTCTCCTTGTTCCTTAGCATGATGAGCTGTTGCTCCAGTCGCTGCTTCTCCATCTCCTCGTGTCTCTGCTGCTCCAACTTCCTCTTCTGCTCCAGCTCCTGCTGTCGCTTCGCTGCCAGGATCTCCTGCTGCTGCTACACAGCACACACACAACTCATTCACACTTCCACTTTCACAAGTGAAGTTTTCCGTGCATGTACTTTTGAGCTGGTGTGTTTTACAAGTATACCTGGCTTGCCTGCTCGAATGAGCTTCAGCTATACCAAAACAACATTTACTAAGTTACACAATTAGCAGATAACACAATATAAGCAATGAATACAATAAAGCAATAATGTCCAATAAGCAATATATACTTCATGGAAAAATGAGAATAACATGCTATATATAACACATATTAGTGAAGAAATTAATAGGTATGTATTTAAGGAGGAAGAATGCAATTTGTTCGAGTGCCGTGAATTTGACATGACCTTAGCCTAATCCCAGCTCTGCTGCGGACTCCATGTGACCCCAAGTCTTACCCTGGCCCTACTGTGGGCTCTGTGTGACCCCAGTCTGGCCCTGGCCCTGCTAGGACTGTGTGTGACCTCAGCCTAGACTCGGCCCTGTTGTGGACTTGGCGTGACTTCCGCCAGACCAGCTACGGACTTGGCATGACCTCAGCTCGGCCCCAGACCTGCTGCAGACAGCATGACCTCAGTCTGGCCCCAGACCTGCTGGGGTGTTGGCATGACCTTGGCCTGAACCCCAGACCTGCTGGGGACTTTGCATGACCTCAGTCTGGCCCTGACCTGCTGCAGAGTTGGCGTGACCTTGGCCAGCCCCCAGACCTGCTGGAGTCTTGGCATGACCTCGGCCAGCCCCAGACCTGCTGGGGTCTTGGCGTGACCTCGGCCAGCCCCCAGACCTGCTGGGGTCTTGGC